TTTCTTTATATTAAAACCACAAAATGTCAATTCAAAAATTTGAATTGAAAATACAAAGCGCCAAATATCAATTCAAATTTTTGAATTGAGAAACAAAGGCTCTAATTTTCAATTCATTTTCGTGAATTGACATTTCCAGCACATTTCACTGATATTACATGAACCGCCCCACCCAACCACCCAGCCACCACCCCCCAAACCAGAAAAACACACAGCCAGGAACAACCCCACCCCACCCAGCCCACCCAATCCACACAGCAGCACAGGCACCCACCCGCCCACCCTACCCGACACCCAACCCCCACACCCACCCAACAGGAGCCACCCACCCCCACCCGCCCCACCCAAACACAGGCACCCACATCCACTACCAAGAGCAGCACCAGTACCAGCACCAACACCAGAGGCAGCACCAGCACCAACAGAACCGGCAACAGCACCACCAACACCACTACATCGCAACCACCACCACAACAACAGCCACACCAAAAACGGCAACAATGGGAACAGTAACCAACAACAAGAAAAAACAACACCAATAACAGCAACATCACCAACAAGAACAACAACAACAGCAACAACAGCAACAACAGCAGCAACAACAACAACAACAACTGGAACAACAACAACAACAGCAACAACATCAGCGACGAACAACACCCGCTAACAGCTGACAACTAAGAACTAACAACTAACAACTAACACAACAACAACAACAACAACGATGAACAGGAAAATTACAATGGCAGAACCAACCACTACAACAACAGAAACAACAACAAAATGTCCAAATGCAAGAACAACAGAAAGAACCTTAATAACAACAGCAACAACAATAACAACTGCAAAAACAGCAACACTAAAAAACAGCCACCACCAACAACAGCAACGACAGGGACATACAGCAGCAACAGCAAAACCAACCACCATAACAACAAAAACAACAACAACAACAACAACCACAACCACAACAACAACAACAATCAGCACCACCACCGCCACTGCAAACAAGAATATCAAGAGCAACACCACCACCACCACCACCACCAACAACAACAACAACAAGAACAACGACAACGACAAAGACAGCAACAGTAGAGCAGTAGTAGTAGTAGCAGTAGTAGTAGTAGTAGCAACAGAAGTAGTAGTAGTAGTACTACTACTACTACTACTACTAGTACTAGTAGTAGTAGTAGTAGTAGTAGTAGTAATAGTAGCAGCTGCTGCTGCTGCTNNGCTGCTGCTGCTGCTGGTAGTAGCAGTAGCAGCTGCTGCTGCTGCTGCTGCTGCTGCTGCTGATGCTGCTGCTGTGCTTGTTGTGGTTGTTGTGATTGTGGCTCTTGTTGCAGTTGCTGTTGCTGTTACCGGTACTGTCCTTGTATTTTTGTTGTCGTTGTTATTGTTGTTGTTGTAGTAATTGCTGCTGCTCTCGCTGGTGTTGCTGCTGTTTGTTGTCGGTGTTGTTGTTGTTGTTGCCCTTGTTGTTGCATTACTACTACTGCTTCCCTGGCTTGTGTGGATGGTGGATGCTGTTAATTGAAGCAGCTGTTTTGCCCCAGTGGCAGTGGATAAGAGCTTTTCCTCCCTTGCTTGCTGTGCTGGTTGGCAATGGTGCGGGATACCATCGTGGACATCCAAGATGTCCACTACTACCGAGTGGTCGTGGTGACATGGGCATCTGGCTGGAAGGATCATGTGCCTTTTGGTGACATGAACCCGTACATCCGAAGCTCCCGTTGGGAGTGGGTGGGAAGAGAGTGCTGGCGAGTGGCTGTCTACAACTGTGGCTGGGAGTTCTGGCTGCTGGCTTGCTATAGCATTTGTTTGTTTTGCTCTCGGCTTGGAAAGCTCCCATGATGTGCATTTGCTCCTGATGCTTGAAATGTTGCTGTTGCCAGGATGACGAAACGACGATTGGAGATGCTGGCTTACGATGAGATCGGACCCATCGTGCTCACCATGCTCCACCCCGGAAGCAACTGAAGTCCTGCTGCTGGTGGAGATGCTGGAGATGCAGAGCTTTTTTCTCCGACTGGAGCTGCTGCTGGTTAATGCGACAGAATTCCAATCTGCATGCAATCCTGCGAAGCAAAAGAACTTGTGCTTGCAGCCTTCATGTAGGCTCCAGCCTGAGGGCTCCGAGCCATTGCAGGCTTTGAGTTTTTATGGCAGCTTTATCTTCTAATCTCTTAGACTGCCCCAGCCTTCAACGAGGCTCCCTTTCAGCAGCGAATGAGTTTCTATTCATTGCTAGGTCTTTCTGCTCAGACCTTTGTTGGCATTTTGCCACCCTGCAGGCATTTGGCCTGCACTAGCAAAGGTCGCTCCAAAGCCATGCCTGGGCATTGGAAAGTCGAGGATTTCAAGCAAGAGATCAACACACTGCTGCTTTTGTTGCAAGCTCGCCCCAACCTGCTCCAGAAGGTGGACACATGGACGGGGCAGCTCAAAGGCAAGCTTCAGAGCATGGGAGACATCCCATCTGCCGAGATGCTGCAGTTGTACGATGCCATCAAGACTAGCAACTTGCCCGACACGGTGAAGACAAGTTTGGAAGAAGTGCTGGACCAGAAAGCTGTTGGAGCAGCTGGCCCTGTGGCTGTCGTGAACAAGACCCAGAGTTGCGATGGCCTGCATCGCTACTTGACTGAGACCGAGTTGGCCATTTTGGAGAAGACTGACATGTGGGCTTCGTGCCCAGTCCTGGCGCGAAGGTTGCGACTGCTGGGCATTCAGCACCTGAAAGAAAGCACCAAGAAAGCTGCAACGGCGATTCTCGTGTATTTCGAATACAAGAGGACAAGCAAGCTGGTTTCGGCTGACTGCACTTATGTGCTGGCAGAGCACATTCGTTCCGCCTTCGAGAGCTGTTGTGAGGAAGTGCCGGTGGGTGTGCAACGACTTGCTAGCCTTCCAAGGGACCCCCAGGACCTGAGCCAGGCTCACTTGCAGGCTTCTTACGGGAATGAGATGCCTGCTGGAAGAGAAATTCCGGAGCTTGCACAGATCTACAAGAACAATGCCTGGGTGAGAGGCAACAGCAAGCTGGTGAAGCAGACCAAGGTTTTTTGGTTGTCGTCATCGCCGTTTTTTTGTAAGCCTCAGCGATTAGTGTTTAGGGTTTATGGTAAAAGGTTCTCTAAGCTTGCAGGTGTTTGCCTATGTTGTGTTTTTAAGAATGAGTTAAAGTAGAAGTGCCGAGCAGAACCCTGCAACCATTCAGTGCGGTTAGCTTCATAGCTATACAGCTATACAACTCGCACCCCTGCGACTTGCGAGCGAGGCTGGTGAAAACACGGCCAATGTTGGCCACCAGATGCACCGTGAAGCAGATCTGCAATCCGGCTTTATGGTGTTGGCGAACATGCTGGC